GATGTGATCGATTCTACGCGCTTGCGTACTCCACACCATCTGGCTAGCTCGAAACGATCGAGTCTTCCATCCCGAGGCGCCCGTCGTGACGCCCGAAGCGGGTCACTACTCGCGCCGCGTACTTGACGAAGCTGCATCTTCAACATTTTTTGCTGAATACCCAAGCACTGTGTCTCTTCAAAATGATGAACGCCCTTTGCCACGACTCTTGACCTCGTTCCGGCTTGCGTGATCCACGCCTCGCTTTCGAGACGGCTACGCCTTGCCGCTGCTGCCGTCAGTCACAACACGCCCCGAGTCGAAAGTTCACCTCCAAAAACAGTTCAGCTTGACACAGTTTACATAATTTTATTGGCCTTGCACTATAGCCAACAGACTCGACACATGGGCATGAGATTGATGGTTGATGACAGCAAAGCCATGCTTCCTATCTCTAACGTTAGCACATTCCTTGTTGTACGGAGAGGTGATCTCAGAACCCATTTGCGCTTTTGCAAAGATCGCGAGACCTTACTGGTTTAGAAATATCGGGTCTAGCGATTCGTCACACAGCACGATGATTCGAGAGCTTCAAAGAACGTTGAGAGAGTGAACGGCAACAAGTCATCCAGCGATTGAGTTCTTGTCCATTCCTGGTGCTTCGGTACCCTAGACACAGCAGCATTGGCACGCCTTTGTCGCATCCGTTGTATTTTAGCGTAGAAGAAACGCTGTCGTTCACTCGAACCGCTCTGAGCGCACTAAAGCTACTGAGAGATGGTGCTGCATATGTCACTGCCATTTGTTTGCCTGTATAGATGGAGCGTTTCTTGGCGTTGCGTCGAGTCGCCAAGCCTCCAAGCCTCGCTAGGTGCTCACTGTGACGCCGTCCACGCCACCTCATTGTATGGTCGAGTGCAACACTACACGATCTTTGCACTACCGGTAATCGACTTGGCACTAGTGGCAACCATGGCTATGACAAAGCATTTTAAACATGTTTCAATTCCGGCCACGGTGCGTTGGCATGTGCTCCAGATCGTTGTCAGGTGAGCCGTCTCAATATGCACCTGCCTCCGCGAAGGTTTCAATTTACTTTCACGGTTGTAGGCATAGATCATCGCATGCGCTAAACAAGTAAGCAGATATATACAGTATTTGTGTCGACTTGCGTTGGCGCATGTGTTGAGTAACTTGCTAGCAAAAAGGTACAGTCTGCCGCGCTTGGATCCTGTCCAGTACGAATGCTGGTCACACGGAATGTTGATCCGTGACATTGCGGAATAAAATTCAGCATTTTTAAAAACATTTTGGTGTGAATATAACGATCACACGGCGTGCTGCGTCTATCGCCATCGTTCGTCATGCTGCAACCTCTTGCTCGGCCTGTGTCTCCAAAGGAAGTACCAATATATTATCGTTGCTGAAAGCTTCTTGTTTCCTCAGGTGTTGAGCATGTTGCGTGCAATTGCGGTTTACCCGCCAAGGTCGCCGTCATTGACGACCAATCAGATGCGATCATTCCTTTATGGGCGAGAAACGTCTGTCTTTTGTGTCATACCCTTGCCGCCCTTGTGGACTAGAGTAAAGTCCTACTACAGTGAGTCACAATTGTTTGAAATGGCGGCGATGGACGGCGCTGGACGATCACATGCCAATTTTCCTCCTTCTCACCATCATGAGCACGACACCTTTCGACGATACGACGTGCTTCTTTCACGGCTGCACGAGCAAGCCGGTGGAGGGCTCGGTCAAGTGCCATTTTCACCGCAACCGCGGTCTTTGCCGCATTGGCAACTGCCGCAACCAAGTCTACGCGCGGAGTCTCTGTGTGCGCCACGGTGGCCGCCACCCGTGCGCGCACCCCGGGTGCTCAACCAACGCGCGCCTCGGTCAGTATTGTTGCCGCCACAGCAACATGAAGAAGCTCTGCCACCATCCCGGCTGCACCAAGGTGATCCAGATCAACAACTTGTGCATTCGCCACGGCGGCAGCAAGCACTGCCAGTACGAAGGCTGCGCGACGCCTGCGCGGTGCGGCGGCTACTGCTGGCGTCATCGCAAGCACATCAAGCACCCCAAAGACGTTGCCAACGCGACAAAGGCGATCCCATGTGACGCCAACAGCAACGACACTGCGCTCTGGGACCAGGGCCTTTTCGACGCGATCGCAGCCAGCGATGTGGAGAGCGCGTTGAGCTCGAGCCCCGAAGATTTGGATGCGTCGATCTTGGACGTGCTGCTGCGATGCGACAGCCTCACGATTGGCTCGCCCGACGCACACGTGACGGTCGCATGAATCTCTAGTAATCGATGCGTTGGTTTTATGTTTGCACCACCGTATACTCTGCCCATGCACACGCACTTCTGATCATACTAACGGTAGTATGCAAGATGAGTCCAGACACTTTGACGACGGTGGTGGCGTGATCGGAGGTAAGAGCCCATGTCGTATAGACATTCGACTGCGCACTTGGCTCGTCCTGTAATACACTGAAATGGTGTACCCGTACAATTCGCACGTAGCACCGCGTCTGGACGACGCCCAACAGACGTTGGCAAATGCAAAGGAAAAAAACTGAAGTCGCGTAGCCATCGATTGCTACCGTGTAGGACGCGTTTGTTGAATCGTTTAATAAATTGTCTGTACCAATGTCAGTGCATGTCAGGGCTATCTCGCGCATGGACTGTAGCAGTCGCAGACGCGAGGCGTCACTTCAGTCGTGTTGGCACAGTGTCAAGAACGGGTAACGTTAAATGGTCTATCATGGAGACCGTTCGATCCCCGAATGGCAACGCTTCAAAAGACAGAAGCCATATTGTTGACGATGATTCTGCACTTGCACACTAGGATTCATCCGGACTACGCACACCTGCCATTGTATAAGCTGGAAATGGGTGTATTCTTACCGGTATGCAGCGAAACTAGTCGACATTCGAAACGCCGCCGAGCGTTCGTAGCTAGAGCTTGCGACTGACGAGACATCGCGAACGCGTACGTTCATAACCCGTGAATTTTCATCGTGTCCACTGCCAAAAGGAATGATGGTCTTTCTGGCTCTCTGAAATTCATCAGAACGGCTCCTCGCATTTGCCAAGTCAGTATACAAAGACTAGGCGGTGGTAATTGTTAAGGAGGTGGAAAGCACCGTTGCTGCACCTGTTACGAGCAGCCGACCCAAGTGACGTGTATGTGCCATTCCAAACACCCACGTTCCGCATTCGCTGTGTTGGGATGTCGCGGCGCATAGCCAAAAGAAAGGTCAAGTGCAGCGAAATTATAGAAGCATGCTATCGGCTCGATTCGCATCAATACATTTGCACATTAGTGTTAGGACGGTCATCTGCGTTCTCTATTCCACAGCACCCTTCTTGCAGCCCTTCTTGCGTCGCGCGGCGCCGGCTGGCGCGTGACAACTGTGGCACCGCCCATCGGACCGAAATGAGATTGCACCAATCCGCGAGCCCGATTATTAGAAAGTACGCAGGTTGCGCGACTCTACGGCTTGCATCTGCTGTGGCAGTGTCATACCCCCCACACCATCGCCATCACAGGAGCGACCAGAGCTTTGGTTTGTCACGCGCGGTAGGAAATTTGGGCCAAGCGCCCGCATCCCCAAGCCGATGAGCTCAGAATCAAATTTCAACACAGTTTGACAGTATGGAAACCACCGCCTTGTGCTACTTTCATGGCTGCACGAGCAAGCCAATGGAAGGCTCGGTCAAGTGCCACTTCCACCGCAACCGCGGCCTTTGCCGCATCAGCAACTGCCGCAACCAAGTCTATGCGCGGAGTCTCTGTGTGCGCCACGGTGGCCGCCACCCGTGCGCACACCCCGGGTGCTCAACCAACGCGCGTCTTGGCGACTTTTGCTGCCGCCACAGCAAACACAAGAAGCTCTGCCACCACCCCGGCTGCACCAAAGTGATCCAGATCCACAACCGGTGCATTCGCCACGGCGGTAGCAAGCACTGCCTGTACCCGGGCTGCGCGACGCCTGCGCGGGCTGGTGGTCACTGCTGGCGCCACCGCATGTACATCAAGCGCGAGAACGCACCGACATCGCCCTCGGACAGCACCAACCAAGGCTGTTGCAGCGACGTGGCCATGAGCGACGTGGCCATGAGCGACGATGGTACGAGCTCCGAGATGGCGCTGCCCCTATCGGGCGATGACTTGGATGCGTCCATCTTGGACGTGTTGCTTACTTGCGGTGACATGAGCTGGAGCCACGCCGACGGCGCATCGTTCGTGCTATGACGGGTCACCCGATGCACTTATTTAGTCACGTTATTGCGTTCGTAAACCGCCCGTCATCCTTGTACAGTACACTAAGAAACACCAATAAGACCTTCATGTTGACGTCCAGTGGGTTGGACCGAGCCTTGTCAATGACGATAGCATCGTGGTCACCGCTACACATTGCACTGCTGCAGCAGCAATGCTATCTCGCATGGTGTCAAGTCGTTTGAACGCTGACGTGGCGGCACCGCCAAGCACCGGTTCAATCGATTCGAACCGGTTCGCGCTTGTAACACGCAAGTGCTTGTAACGAGGGATCTTTGGGCCGAGCGGGGCGGCGATGGACGGAAGGCCCGACAACATTCGGACGTTGATCCTCGAGAAGGAGAAGGAGCTCCATGACATCAACGAGTACCGGATTCGGACGCTCGAGACGATGCTCAAGGAGAAGGTACCTCATTTGCATGGCGAGAGGCGCTTATGGCCGGCTAGGAGGCGGCGATGGGCAGCTACAAGCAAAAGTTCCACAAGCTCCAGGAAGACTTCAAGTACAATCTCAAGGTACACGCGTCTAGTGACGACGCTGCAGCGCGTGCGTAGCTGCTCGAGGGACGCGACGAAGAGCTGGCCATGTACGACAGCAACTTTGCGACCATGAAGATTGTGCTGCGCGACCGGTACGAATAATCCGATTACGCCCCTCCTAGTCCGCCATGCATCAACGCACCCACATGACGTACTAGCGAGAACGAAATCGGCGAGCTGCAGATCCAGCTCGCAGATGTGGCCTCGGACATGAAGGCCGAGAAGCAAAAGCACGCCGAGCAAGACGCGTTCTACACGCAAAAGCTCAAGGACGTGCGCGCCCAAGTCGAGGCCGCGCGCTGGTCCTACGACGACGCCATGCGCAAGCAAAAGGACGAGTTTGATGCATACAAGCGGCGTAACGAGCGCGAGCTGCGCGAGAAGGACGAAGACATGGAGAGCCTCCGGCGAGAAATGTCGGTCACGTTCGACGAGCTCCTTCGCGCGCGCGAGGCCGAAGCCAAGGCCACCACCGACGACATCACTACCAAGCTTCGCGAGACCGAGCTCAAGGCCAAGAGTTTAGCGCGCGAGGTCGAGACGACCAAGGAGCGCAACACGGAGCTCCGGCGCAAGGTCGACGACCTCCTTTCGCAAGTTCACGAATCCGATACACAAGCCAAAGCGCTGCAGTGGGAGCTCAGTGACGTACGTGGCTTGAAGGACGCCAAGATTGCCGAACTTGAAGCCGACAAAGTAGACCTCCAGCAAGTCAAACAAGGTATACCTCGGTGCCTTGCTGAAAAGAAACGATTTCGGTGCTCTGCATGTAGCCCTTCTCGACGAGTACGAGGGCAAGATGGCCGAGCTCTTGCAGGTTCGACGCTTGCAACGAGCGAGTGATGTGACGTCCCTACGTAGTCGCTCCATGCTGTGGAAAAGGCATTTTTGCAGCAGAAGGCCCAGTTCGAGGACGAAGTCCGGCGCGTGACGCAGCGCAAGGACAACGAAATGAAGGAGCATGGCGTCAAGTTTGAAGCCCGCATCGAGGTACGCCAACCGTTATGTGCCCAGCCGAAGGAGAAGCGGTCCTCTCTTGCATCTAGGCGCTCATTGGTAAGTTGCGCTCGGTGGAAGAGACGTTAGAGAAGGTGCAGACCGAACTCAAGCAGTCCAAAGTGCGATATGCTGCATGGTGTCTTCGCTGGAAACGCATGGGATGCCTATGTAGTGGGAAGCCGACGACCAACTCTTACAGCGCGAGCGCGAGATGGAGCGGCTCGTCTCAGACCACAAGGTAGACACGCTCTCGACAGTGTGCGACGTGGCGTCGTGTGCATAGGACGCTTTGGAGCAACGCGAGACGATGCTCAAGGAGCTCAAGAACGAGCTTTGGACAGCCCAAGTCGAGCTCAAGTCGTCAAAAGACGCGAGTCGGCAGTCGCTCCAGCTCGTGACGGACGCCAAAGAAAAAGAATTGCACGCCAAGCAGCAAATTACGCAGCTGCACGAGCAAATCGAGGACTTGCAGCGGCGTGCGACGAGCCACGACGCGTCCAACGAGTCCAAGCTTCGAGGTGCACATACGCACGATGTGCCCGCTCACCTCATACTTCATGCAGATCTGGAACAGGAATGGCAGGCCAAGTTTGACATCAAGTACCGGGAGCTCGCTGCTTTGAAAGATCGGCTCCAAGCCGAGAAGATGGTTGGCATTTCATCATATTTTGACCGAGTTCGAAAGACGATATGACTCGTAGGCGGTCGAAGATCGGTACCGACACGCCGAGAATGAGCTCGTGCGCCTGCGTGGAGACCTCTTTGCCCAAAAGGCCGCGCTGCAGATGAACGAAGCGTTCAAGTTGCCGTCGTCGTCGGTGAAAACCGTGTCCGAGCCGGCGCTGTCGCCGTCGTGGACGGACCCGCCACCGTCGATCGGCAGTCTTCCGCCCGTCTCCCCGCCGCCGAGCGTCGTCGCAGCGACTCCGACCAAGCCCGTCGACTCGCTCGAAGCCGAGAACGCGCGGCTCAAGAGTGTCATTCGCGCCATGACCGAAGAGGTCATCAAGCAAACCGCCGCCGTCTCCCGTACAACCACGCGCTATTGTGCACTGGTTCAATACTGTGCCTAGCCGACTCGGAGGCAACCGACTTGGCGCGCCAGCTTTCGCAAGCCGTCGCCGACGCTGACCGGCTCCAAGCACGCGTGCACGAGTTGGAGCAAGCAGGCTCGGCGACGCTGCAAGCGCAACTCTTGCATGTGCAGCAAGAGCTGCTTGTCGCGCAGCAGACGCTGGACGCCAAGAACCAGCTCATCGAACGGCTTCAGAAGGAGAATGCGATGCTCCAAGCCGCTCGCCCGTCGACGGTGTGTCTTATGCTAATGTACACATCGTCATTGCCTTTACATAGGAGTCGAACGCCACTGCGCAACAGCTCACGCAAGCACTCCAGGACATCCAAGTGCTCCGACACGAGCGCAACCAGCTCATGGAGCTCAGCAATCAGCTCACGGCGGACCTGCGCAAGCAGCAGCTGCAGAGCCCCGTGGACACGACCGCGCGGATCGCCGACCTCACGCAGTCGCTGGAAGAGTACCGGCTGCACAACAAGGCGCTCAAGAAGGAGCTGCGCAAGTGGCTTAAAAAAGGCGAGTTCACACTGTCCGCCGCGCCCGTCGAGCCGCCGCCAGCCCGTCGACGTTCCGACCCGATCGACGACGACGACGAGTACGACGACGAGGCACCGCCCGACGAAGCCGGCGACGTGTCGACGCCACTGCCGACGCGCCGGCCATCAAATTTGGCGAGTACGCTCTTTCAACAAGCACCGAGACCCGAGGCCAACTCGTCCCTCTCGGACGCGCGGCTCAAGCTCAAGCACGCCAAAGAGGTGCTTGCGCTCGCGGGAAAGAAGGTCGACGAGCCCCAGAAAGCGCGCGCGGCGTCCATGGTTGTCTCGAGCAGTCAAAAGTACACGCATTCAAACTCAATTGAGAACCAAACGTGTCTCATTTGTAGGGAGACGCCAAGCCAGCGCTCGGCCATGCACAAGCTCAAGGAGCTCCAGTCCAAGCGCGCCGAGATGGCTGAAGAGCGCAAAAAGGTTCGCAATTACAGCGTACCGGGTACCTAACCCTGCAATCGAAAATGTCAAAATGTCTTTCTTGTCGAGCCGCGATGCCGTGTACTCGGCGAACGACACCGCCCGACGGAAGAAACCTCCCAACCTCCAAGTTATTCCCTTGCTACTGCCGATGCTGGGTCATGGCAGCGAGCGAGATAGGCTGGTGGATTCGATACAGGTCGAGTAGATAATACAAATGCGAGTTGGGGTTTAGAACTTGAACTTTTTGAGGTTCTTGGGCTTCTCCTTCTCGGCTTTCCGCGCGCGCTTGCGCGAGTCGTCGCCATCGACCGACGACTCGGTCGTGAGCATCCCGCTCGTCGAGCTCTCGATCCCTCCGGGCTTGGCGCCAACGTCGTAGGCGTGCGCCGACCCGTACAGCGACGTCCCGACGGCCACCTCCTTTTGTGCAAGGACCGTGTAGAGCTCCTTCGGGGCCGACGGCGCCACGTCGGGTGTTTCCGTCCCCCGCTTCCGGAGGTCGACGACACCACCGGGCGTCGAGACACCCGACATGACGCTCGAGATACCGCTGTCCATCGTGTCTTCCAGGACTGCGGCCATGGGCTCGCCAACGATCGCGTCAGCGTGGGCGACGTCGTCTTCCTCTTCGTGCTGCTCATCTTCGTCTTCTTCGTCTTCGTCGTCGACTTCCGTGACCGGGTCCAGTTGCCCCCAGCGCTCCTTGCTCACGGGAAGGACTTCTTCGACGGGCTCCGACGTTTTCGCCGCCGCCGCCTTGTTGAACACGTCGCCGTACAGAGGATTTCCGAGCTCGTCGACGGGCGGCTTGCCCCAACCACCGGGGTGGTACCCAAAGCTAGCGCCGTCGGGAATCGGCGCGTTGAGACCCGGGATCTTGAGATGCGGGTAGGCCGGCGGCGGGCCGTAGCGCTGGATGTTGAGGAGCCACGGTGGCGGGACGCCATCCACCATACCGAGCGCACGCTTGAGGTCGTCCGAGAGAAGGCCCGGCGTCTTGCGCTTGAGCTTGACTTCAAACTCCTTGCCTTCGTAGTAGAGATCGCCGAGCGACGACAGCGGCGGCTTGGTCTGGTATCGGAAGAAGGCGTCGTGCAGCACTTGGTAGTCAATGTCGATGCGACCCATCTTGGGCTGCATGCGCTCGCGCATCTTGGCCGACCCCTTCTTCTTGAGCTCATCGTCGAGGAGCGCACCGCGGACTTCCGAGATACCCGTGTTGGCGATAAAGTCGGGCAGGATGAATGGGACCTTTTCGATACCGCGCTTGCCCTGGAGGTACTTGCGCTTGTGGCACCAATGGCGGGGCACAGGCACCGTGTTGCGGTACGCCTTCAAGTAGCAGAGGAACTGCGGGTCCGACGACGTCACGTCGTGGGCCTCGACCACGTCCGGGCACGCTACGAGCTGCTTGAGCAACGAGATGCTAATCTGCTTGGCCTTCTTGCGCGCCTTGCGCCCAAGCTGCATCGGCTCGTCAAAAGCCTCGACCTCGTTCGCCGCATTGTCCTCGGCCTCGGGCGCCACGTCGTCGACCGCGCTCTTGTCGCCGCAGAGCTCTTCGGGCTTGAGGAACTTTTCAAAGACGCGCGAAAACTCTTCGAACGCCGGGTCGGACGTTGGCAGCGCGACCTCGGCGCTCACATACTCGACCGTCACCTCGGGCGCCGGCGCCGGCTCGTCCGTGGCCTCCTTCAGGAGCTCCAGCTGGCGCTCGGCCTCTTGGCGCAGACCGTCGTCTTGCTTCTTCTCCTTCTTCTTCATGCGCCGGCGCGCATTCTTGGAGAGCGGCTGGGCAGCGACCTCGGAGCTCATGGACCCTGTGGCTCGGAGCTAATTCGGCTTTAAAGCGGTTTTTTCCCAAACTTAATATCACCCGCCGAGCAATATCATGTATGGGAGGTTTCGAACCCATACGCTAAACCCACCCAACTTGGCCCTGCGATCTGCGATCTGCCAACATGCGCCGAGCCATCGTCGCCGTCATCATGCTGCATGCAGCGCTCGTCGCTGCGCTCTTGCCGCGGCCAGAGCACGATATGATCAGCGCCACGAAGGGCCTCATTGCCCGGCGGCTCGGCCCAGCGTACGTCGACCAGGTCGGCCTGTCTCTCGCCTCGCTCGCTCCTACATCCTCGCGTAGTTTGTGCTCGAAGCGCTGCCGGTCGACCACATTTCGGGGCTCGACATTGCGCATGTCGATGCGACGCCAGGGCAAGTGCATCTTCGCGCGTCCAGTGCAACGGCCATGGGCTTTGGCCTGCACGCGTACCTCAAGGCCGCGGCGCAGACGCAGACGAATTGGGAGGACGACCCGCTCGTGCTTCCGCCGACACTGCCAGCGCTGACAGTGCCACTGCGCCTCGGGCGGCAAGCCGCATACACGTACTATGAGAACGTGTGCACGTTCAGCTACTCGCAGTGGAGCTGGTCGTGGGCGCAGTGGGAGCGCCACATCGACTGGATGGCACTCAACGGTACGGCCAGCGCATCTCTCGTGCATTCGATATGTACGTCGACCTAGGAATCAACGTCCCATTGGCGTTCACAGGCCAAGAAAAGGTGTGGGCGACGACCTTTGGCGCGTTCAACGTGAGTGCGTCGGGGCTGGATGGCTTCTTTGCTGGCGCGAGCTTCCTCGCGTGGGGCCGCATGGGCAACGTCCAAGGCAGCTGGGTGCGCGGGCCGCTGCCGCGATCGTTTATTGAGCAGCAGTTTGAGCTTCAGACAAAGATCCTCGCTCGCATGCGCGCGTTCGGCATGACACCGGCCCTGCCCGCCTTTGCCGGTATTCTTTTTTAGTATCAAGACTGTATCAAGATGATGCTAGGCCACGTCCCGGCCGAGATGGTCTCGCTATACCCGAACGCCAAGTTTGTGCAGTCGCCGCCTTGGATTGGGTTCAAGCCGCCGTTCACGTCCGTGTACATGCTCGACCCGACGGACCCGCTCTTTGTCGAGATTGGCGCAGCGTTCTTGCGGCACCAAGCGTCCCTCCTCAACTACACTGCGATTTTGTATCAGACCGACACGTACAACGAGATGGACCCGGCGTTTAGCGCGCGTACGTACCTCGCAGCGTCGTCGTCGGCCGTCCTGAAGAGCATGCGCGCTGTGCACCCGTCGGCGGTGTGGCTCATGCAAGGCTGGCTCTTTTCATTTTCGCGGTTTTGGACCGCGACGCGCGTCCGCGACTACATTGCGCACTTGCCCCAAGACGGTCTCATCGTGCTCGATTTGTACAGGTCTCGTGTGTTGATTCCAAGTTATATCAGGCTAATGCACTCTGGTGTAGCGAGGTCAAGCCCGTGTGGCAGACAACGGACAACTACTTTGGCAAGTACTGGATCTACTGCGTGCTGCACAACTTTGGCGGCAGCCTCGGCATGCGTGGCGACCTCCCGACGATCGCGTCCGACCTTGTTGCGGCGCGGACAGCGAGTGCCGGCACGCTACTGGGCCTCGGGCTCACGATGGAAGGCATCTATCAAAACTACATTGTGTACGACCTCGCGCTGCAAATGCCGTGGCAGGCATCGGCACTGGACGTTCCGACGTACGTCGACGCCTTCATTCGTGCCCGGTACCACCACCCAACACAAAATGCGCTCGACGCGTGGCAGCGGCTCGCAGCGACTGTCTACAATGTTTCTAAAGGCTTTGGCGGCGTCACCAAGTGCATTGTGAGTCTCCGCCCGCGCTGGGGGCTTCTCCAGAGCCGGTTCATGCCCACGGCGCTCGCTCACAACGCCGAGGACGTGCTATTTGCGTGGCGCCGCCTCCTGGCCGCCGCGCCGGCGCTGGCGTCGCACCTCAGCTTCACGCGGGACCTTGTCGACGTGACGAGGCAAGTGCTCAGCGACGGTTTGGCGGCCGACGTTGCGGCCTTGGAAACCCTGTTTCATGCGCAGGTCGCGCCACTTGCCGAGGTCCTTTGCACCTTGTCGCAAGCGCTGATCGTGTGTGTAGCTCGATGCTGTCATGCGCCGCATGCAGGACGCGATGGAGATGCTCGAGCGCATCCTCAACACCAACCGCCACTTTATGCTCGGTCCGTGGCTCGCCGACGCGCGGGCACTCGGCGGGGCGGACGACGCAGCGTATTTCGAGTACGAAGCGAAGAACCAAGTGACGCGGTGGGGCGACGCCAACGGCAATGCGCTCTCGGATTACGCCAGTAAGGACTGGGGCGGTCTTGTGTCATCGTACTACCTTCCGCGCTGGCGCATCTGGTGGCGCCACGTCCGATCGGCGTACGTGGCACGCTCCGCGGTCGACCATGCCGCGGTGCATGCGGCGCTCGAGGCGTTTGAGCTCGCGTGGCAGCTCGAGCGATTGGAGTTGCCAGTTGAGCCGGTCGAGGATTCGGTTTCCGTCGCGTTGGCCATCGCCAAGACACTCCTGCCAGACGACGACGTCGGCGCAGCGGTTGTGAAAGATGCGGCACCGAGCTTCGCTCGCGATCAAGTGCTGGCACGCGCCTGCCTCCTCGACTGCCTCTGGTAGTAGTGTCGCTACGGAAGAAATGAGTGGTTGCCAGCCTTGTGTGATGATGGTTGTCCTTTGATGGACTGCAAGTAAGGACGCCGGGGTAGACCGTTGGACAGAGGTGTCGCACGGTGTCGTGGACGGTGTGCATTTGGAAGACTCGGACGCTATGGCGACACCCCGGACACCGGGTACGCGTAGCGATCGAATCTACGAGCTAGGGCATCCTGCGAACCTTCTCGGAAGCGACCATCATCGTCGCGTGGCGGGCTGTCGCCTTCGATGCGCTCCATGCAACATCCTGAGCCAGCAGACGTCCCACGCCACGGGCCTTGTGGACAGGACAGTCATGCGGTCGCTTTGGGCTGGTGCTTCATTGAGCTCGTTCGCCGTAGGGTCAACATGGCCTGCAGCAAGGCGACGACGTAGCTATGCTGCAAGGACACGACGCTTCAGTCCGCGCGGATCGCCGCGCCGTGCCACCTGGTCGGTGCCAGTCCAACGTGCAATCTCAGTGGACCAATCCGACGCCGCCAAATTGCAAGGCAGCGCGTGGATTGGGTGGATTTACAGGCGTGTCACAGAGTGACCATCATTGTCGAACCTGGCCACGTTGGAGCTTTTCGAGTGTCAGTTGCCAATTGCCCAAGACATCGACAAGATCCATCATGCAGTGGTTTAGCAAGAAGCGCGCCGAGCCGCAGTGCCATTGCCGCCAAGTACTCGCATCGATGACGTCGCCGTCACCGCCCGACGCCTGCATCCCGATCACGCACAAGTGGATCGACCGCCAGCAGAAGCAGAAGCACAGCGCGGTCGTCGGCGGGCGCAAGGTGCCGTTCTTGCCCGAGGACATTGGCTTTTGGAAGCTGGATCGGCGCGAGACCAACAACGTGCTCTGCCCGATTGACGAAGACGACTGCGTACGCTGCGACGGCTGCGAAGAAGCCATGTTCTTCAGCCTCCGCGCCAAGCGCGTCTGCGTTGCGCTTACTCGTGTGCACCGCCGGCACAGAAAGGTCGCGCCACAGACCGCGCTCGTTGCATGAAGACGCGCGGAAGCGTGCCCGTCAGTC